CTGTTCCTATAGCGCTATAAAACTCTTCCTGACCCGTAGTAGCAGCTGGTTGGCCTGGGTCTATTTCTGGGAAACACGTGTCCATATTACCAAACCCAGACAGCAGGATTAGCCCGACTGCTGGTGGAAGCCATGGAATGAGGCTCAGGACTCCTCTCTACGCAGAGCATAGTGCCTAGTACTTGACCCTCCTTGTGCCTGTAGCCTCTGTTACCACCAATGCTAGAAAACAACAGCCCTGTGTCCCCTGCTGCACATCCTGCATGGACCCAGAATGTAAAACCACTCACAGGGTTGTATTTAACGGGGAACCGTTCATCCATGTCCATCTCAAGGGGGATCTAATAACAAGTCCAAGCCAGGCTCCGTTTCTGTCTTTGAAAGTGTTTTGAATGAAAGTCTGTAAACAGGGAAAATGAAGTGAGGGGGGAAGGCAAGTTTAGTGGGCAAGATGTTGGGTAGCAACTTTGGAAATGGGTTTAATTCCCCAGCCCCCTCTGTGACCATGGGCCAGTTGTGTAGGTTCTGTCCTGACTGGGACAGAATTAAGGCCTTGTTACAGTCTTTGTGGTGTGTGGGGGCCAGCTCTTGACAAAGTGTCTGCCTCTGGGTGGCAGAGCTTTGGTTATTTCTTGTTTCCTTTCTATTTTGCTTGTGTGGGTGTGTATAGAAAACCTGGCAGACACACAGCACCATGGTTCCATGTATTAATTATTACTAGAGCTGTTCTTATCTCCAGGACACAATTGCTTTACCATCTCAGTCTGGTCCCGGATCACCGGCAGTCGGGAGCCCCTCCTTGAACAGTTATCACGGCTCTTGTTCCAGGAAATTTTGTCTTCAGACACCCAGTAGCACTTGTCCCAGTGTAGCCGCCAGTCTGAGGGGCAGAGCTTGCACCCTGGGCCCTCTGGAGGGGAAAATGGAAACGTGTCATGGAGCTGAATGCTCTGAACTTCATTATACTCATGCAAGAGCTCAACATTTTCAGTAGCCCCATTGCCTGGGCTTGGTTTGAAGGCAGGTCCCAAATTAGCAGCAGATTCTTCAGGCTGAGAGGGAGGACGCTGGTGAAGCTGAGTACCTCAGTCCTGCAATAGCACGAAACTAATGCAGGTGAGGTTCGACTGCAATTCTACATCACCTCCACCCCTCGGCCAGTGTAGCTCTCCTGTGCCCTGCTGCACAGCCCTTGCGTTTCCCCTAGAAATGGCTGCGTGGCAGGTGCAGCAGGTAATACCAAACGCGTCAGTGTTAGAAGAACTTTATTTAGGTTGCAGAATCAAAATAGAAAATGCTGCAGCCAGAGCTGCTCTTGCAGCTGTAACTCAGCCTGATTGTGGGTTCTCCCTGCACACAGAGGGTGTGTCTAGACTACAGGGTTTTGTCGACAAAAGTGGACTTTTGTCGACAAAACTATACCTGCGTCCACACTACCGCTGAGTTCTGTCGACATAACGTCGACAGAACTCAGCAGTTTTGTCGACGCTGGTAAACCTCATTTTATGAGGCATAACGCCTTCTGTCGACAGAGTTTCTGTCGACAGAAGGTGTTATTGCATGTAAACTGTCCTTTGCGTCTACACTACCATGTCGACAAAGCAGCTTGCTTTGTCAACAGAACTCAATGTAGTCTAGACGCTCTTTGTCGACAGAAGCCTGTAGTCTAGACGTACCCTGAGTGTGTGGGGAGCTGTGACAGGGTGTCTACTCTGCACTGGCCTTTTGAAGGCAAAACCTAGCCCTGAGTGAGGGCTGAGAGCAGAGCCCCAGCTGGGCCCTAAAGTGGTTACTGCAAGTTAGGGCCCAGCTGGGGGCTATGGAATGGCTCAGGTTTTTGTAGAGTGCCTATCTCTGTGAAAAAGAAGCGCTAACATTTTTAGCCTTAGAAACAATAGCAGGTAGATAAAGGCAGCATGTGGCATTGCTGTCTCCCTCAGCACTATCACCAGTGTCTGATGAGCAAGAGAGGGTGGAATTGGGATATTGTCAGGACTGTCTGATGGTTGCATCGTGTCCTGGGTTCTATTGTTGGGTCTGCCAGTGTGCAGATGTACCCTAGAGGAATATTGTTGGGAATAAGACAGTAAATATTTGGACAGCAATGGTAGTTTTAAGTTAAGTTCCTGGCTGCTGTGGTGTCTTTCTTTGAGGTAGAGAAACTAAAATGCTTATTAGGTAGAGCAGTATTTCCCAAATGGTATTCCATGGAACCCCGGGGTTCCGCAAAGTGAAAATAAAGGTTCTATGAAAAAATTGCATTACAATAACATTTTATTATTTTTAAAAAATAATTAATATTTAAGCATTAATTTATTTTATTGAACACAATTTTCTTTTGTGTTTCCCATGATAAGTGTCCCTGTGTAATGCCAGCTTAGCCAGAGAGTGGGGACGTTGATGTCACTACTCAGCGCTGACTGTTATTAGGGGTTCCGCAAAATTCTTTTGCGTTTAAAAGAATTCTGTGGCCAAATTAAATAGGGAAATGCTGAGGAAGAGGGAGATTATTGAGAGTTTAAGGAAAGCTGGGTGCCCACCGGGGATGGGTGCCAAATGCCACTCAGTATCTTGGAAATCCTGCACCTCAGATATCTGAAAATACCTTGCGAGGGGCAGTTATTTAAAATGCAAACCAGGGTTGGTTACATTTTTGAATAGTTTCTGCTTTTGGGATCTGACAGAAGTTTTTTAGACACTAGCAGATCACCTTCTAAGGATTACCACAATGGAGGATTCTGCCCCCTGGTGAGTTGGAACTGGCACTGCTGCAGCTCTGGGCATCTGTAATAATGTGTTTCATGATATTGGGAGTCCTGCTTTTCCATGCCAAAGGCTGTTTCAGGAGCAGGGCCAGTAGATGCAGTATACTGGTGTTCTGACCCCTGGTTCTGAGTGGATGCTCCAGTGCTGCTATTTCGATATAGCTCCTCCTCCAGGCCATTCAAAATAATTACTCCCCAGTGCTTCCTGTGGCTCTAAATCAAAGTTGGGCCGTGGTCACCAACTAGTAGATCGCGATCTACCGGTAGATCTTGGAGGCTCTAAGAGTAGCTCTTGAGCCCTTTCTGAACTGCACGCCTGCGCAGTACATTTACATTAGATTTCCTCATTTGAGGAGCAGCTACTCACTGAGCAACAGCACAGGTGAGTAGCTGCGAGAAATGGTGGGATTTTTTTTTAAAGTAGCAGTATAAGGATTGGGGATAGCAAGTGATGGAAAAGAGGAGAATAGAGAGGGCGGGGCTTCAAGGAAGGGGCGGGGCAGTAGATCTTGGCTTGGTCTGTCATTTAAAAAGTGACCTTGGAGACCGCTGAAGTAGGGCATCCACATTAGGGAAGCCTGCCTCGGGCTAATTTAGAGGCTTCCCTGTGGTATGGATGTGCTATTTCAGAGTATTTCTTCTGGGATAGCTTATTCCGAAATAAGTGCACAGTGTAGACGTAGCTTAAGTGTCTCAGTAGCCATCATCTGTGAGGGCTTGGAGCGCCAGAGACAAAGAGGTCACAACAAAATAAAAACCTGCCCCGTGAAAGATTTAATTTAATTTAATTTAATTTAATTTGCACCATGGAATGTTCTGTTACATGCAGCGGGAACAACTGCCCCCTCCTGAACCAGCAGCAGAGTTTGGGCCTGGCTCAACACCACACCCACTGCTACCACTCAGGGCTAGTGGGTGACATGGAGAGTCTGTTATTCTGAGGGGAGGAAGCAGGGGATGGATCTCTCCTGCCAACCCTGGCAGATTTAAAATTTCCCCCAGGGTCCCCACCACTGGCAGCACAGCTGGGCTACAGCAGCTTCCTGCCATTTCTGGCTCCATGCACAGCTGCCAGCATGTCCCTGTGGCTCCTGGGTAGAAAGAACGTTTCCCTAATGTTTCCATTGCAAACTGATCTTGTGGGATCTTTAAGAAGCTTTCATGTTTCCCTTGTTCAAAGCAGGCTTTTGAAATAGGAGACTGGGGAGCCCTAGGGCTGGGGAGCCTTCAAGCTGGAGAACCAGGTTTGCTTTGGCTAGGAAATTTCATCCAAGATTTGCTGAGATGTGAACTCTGGAAGAGTCTCTGTCTGCTCTGGTAACTCCCAGGCAGGGGGTGCAGCTGTGACAAGGTGAACCCAGCACTTTTGATTCTTCATGTTGTTGTTTTGTCAGAGTCTTCCTGAGCATCAGAAGCCAGAGGGGAAATGGCGACTCTTCCAGAGTCCACATCTCAGCAAGTCCTGGATGACATTTACAGGGCCAAAGCAAACCTGTTTCACCAGTCCCAGGGCTCCCCTCACCTCCTGTTTCTAAGGCCTGCTTCCAATATTGAGAGTGTGAAAGCTTCCCAAAGGTACCACAAGACCTGTTTACAATGGGAGAATTAGGGAAACTAATCACAAGAGTCGCAGCCAGCTGCCCTAAGCAGTTTGTAGCAATAGAGAATGGCTGTGTCTAGACTGGCCACTTTTTCTGGAAAAGCAGGCACTTTTGTGGAAAAACTTGCCAGCTGTCTACACAGGCCACGTGAATTTCCGCAAAAGCACCGACGATCTCATTTAAGATTATCAGTGCTTTTTGCGGAAATACTATGCTGCTCCCATTCGGTCGAAAGTATTTTTCTGAAAAACTTTTGCGCAAAAGGGCCCGTGTAGACAGAAGAGATTTGTTTTCCGCAAAAAAGCCCCGATCGTTAAAATGGCTATCGGGGCTTTTATGTGTAAAAGCGCGTCTAGATTGGCCACAGACACTTTTATGCAAAAAGTGCTTTTGCAAAAAAGCGTCCTGCCAATCTAGACGCGCTTTTCCAAAAATGCTTTTAACAGAAAACTTTTCCGTTAAAAGCATTTCCGGAAAATCATGCCAGTGTAGACGTAGCCTATGTGTCTTGTAACCCACACACCTTCCCACATACTGGCACTGAGACCACTTAGAGAGGGATTAATAAGTCTGCTCTACAGCCTTAGCTATGCCCTTGTGGCTTTTTACCATGCAGTAAAATCTCATACCTCTAATTTCAGAAGTCCCAGGTTCCAGCATACCCACCGGATCTTTTATTGTAGTAGTTTGTGGCATTACCCTTTGTGACCAGTAGGTGGCGCTGCAGTGCAAGGCGCAGCTGAGAGGAGGAGGTGAGGTACCTGCTGAGTTGCTGGAAGATGATTCACACACAAATTGTTTCAAGCGGGACTGGAAATCTGTCAGGCCGGGGCTGCCGTTGGATTGAGGGATGAGTCTCTCCCCGGTACTGTTGTTCTCCAGGCAATTCAGAGACCCTCTGGGCTGAAAAACTTCAGAACAGCATGAGCATGAATGGCAGCTACTGCTCAGGGATCAGCCGCCCATCACATACTGCAGCTTTCACATTCAGAACTGGGCCCGGGAGATAGAACATGACGAATAAGAGAGACTGTTGCAATTATTACATAGTGATCGGTTTCTCCCACTCTACCCTGCTCACTGATTACAGTGAAGCTGTAAAAGGCAGGGGCAGATTTACAATGAAACATACAGTGCATGGCACAGTCCCCCTCCCCCCAATGAAACAGGGCCCCCAGGAACAGGCAGTCTAGCACTGGATCTGGCAGCCCCCTCCTGCCCGGTGCCAATCCCTCTGCAGAGAGGGTTGGGGTGGGGGAGGGGAACTGGAGAAGAGGGAGGCTCATTTGCAGCCTCAAGAGAGCCGGTAGGAAGCAGTGAGCAGCATGAACACGGGTTGGAAAGCTTCATTTGACAAGTTCACCAACACTGACGATTGAAAGTGTCCCTTTACAAAATGCTACTTAAGATGACTGAATTGATTATTTTGTAATGTAAATATGTAGAAAGAAAGCTATCTGAATACATTTGTTTTCAGATTGAATAAGTTTCTTCAGAGGAAGTTAACTTTTATTTCTCCATTCATATTCCATTCTTATTTTAACACTTTTTTCACATTAGCTTAATGCAAATACAAGCTTTCATCTAGACCAGAAGTTCTCAAATTGTGCTCCGCAAACTCCATTCAGGTGGACTAAGGAAAGGTTATTCTCCAAAGCACTTTACAATAGTTAGCTAAAGTTACATACAGTATTTCGAAAGATCATGAAATGGTCTACCAAGACGCTCAGCAATTTTCAAGTGTTCCGTGGAAAAAAAAAGCTAGACTACAAAAGCCATCAAGGGACCTCACTTGAGTTTTCATTTACTTCTTATTAGTTTTAGTATAGGAGGAAGGTGAAGAAAAAAGAATGAACAATGAGTGAGGCAAGAAAAGTGAAAGTTCTTTTTCTTGGTGGCAGCCCCAGCTGGTCCCCCCAAAATTTAGTTGAGCACAGGGTCCCACTAATTCTAAATCCACTACTGATAAGAGGGGTATTACATGAAGCTCATGTATCAAATTCTAACATCCTCCTGCCCATGTCATATTGTTCCCGTTTTGGTGATAGTGAAGGGTCTGGGATTTTATTCACAAGAGCGTTGGAATCAGAAGTGTAGGAGATGGGGAAATTTCAGGGTGTTGCATCTGGCAGATATTAATTTGAAGGTGCTTACCCCAAATGCCCATCATTATCACAACTCCCACCAGGACGAAGATCCCAGCTGGTCCCAGCTGCAGAGCAAGCCGATGCCAGCGGGGACACGGAGGATGATCTGTAAGAGACAGAGTTTGGGGAAAGGTCTTCAGCACATAGAGCAAGAAATAAAGGACCTGCCTGTGCAGCATCCGCCAATGGGCATTTATATTCCTCCTGACATAATACCTGGGATAGTTAAAAACCTGTCAGTTAAGGGTCACATCAGGCTGAAGGCACCCAGTAATGAAAAAGCAAATACTGCAAAGGTGGAGAAAATAGTAATGAATTCCTATTGTCAATTATTGAACAACATGGTTCTAGCTCACTTAGGGTATGCCAATACTACGAGAGCATTTTGAAATGTTATATTGGAATAACTCCCAAAATAACTATTTTGAAATAGCATGTCCACACTACGAGGAAGCTTTGAAATTAGTCCGAGGCAGGCTCCCCTAATGTGTACGTGTCACCTTAATTTAGAGCTCCAGGAAGCACTAGGGAGTAACTACTTTGAATGGTCATAGAGAGGAACAATTTTGAAATAGCATCAGTGGAGCAGCCACACTACTGGTATTTCGAAATAACTATTTTGAAATAAGAGTTATTCCTTATTAAATGAGAGTTTATTATTGTGCAATAAGAAGCCAGGAATTTCAAAATTATTTCAAAATAACAGGCTTGCTGTGTGGACATTCAACTTATTTTGAAATAACAGGAGTTACTTTGAAATAATACTGTAGTGTAGACCTGCCCTTAGACTGGTGTATATTTGACCACAATGTATAGCAAGTTTTTGCTTCAGCCCCTTATGGCCATGTGCTGACTTCTGGTTCTTAACTTTTCTGGGGTCAGGACACATCTGTAAACCCCGATGGCCTGTCATGACCCAGTAAATAGCATTAGTGTAAAACCCACCTGTCTTACTAAATATTTTAACGTCACATAATATACTCATTAGTGTAAGAGGTGCCAGCACACTATACATACCCCAGCAGCTGCAGCTCATGTCCCCTGAGGCTGGCTGGGCTTCACTGCCTTCACTGTGTGCCATGATGTCTAGGGTCACAGAAAGCAGTACTGCCCAAGTTTGGCACAGCTTCTGAGACAGGGATGACTGGGGTATAAAGGCTCTAAAATCTGAGGATTTGAGAGTCCAAGGGGAGCAGATCTATAAAATTTTCCAAAGCTGCAGAGACATACGAATATCTTCTGAGGTCTGTTGATTAATGATAAGGTGCCTCTGGCCACCCATAGAATAGATCAGGTTTCTTAGCTTCCTGATTCTTGGGGGAAGGTCCCTGGTAACCCTGTTGCTCCTGGTGATTAGTAGTATCCACAATAAGGAAATCCAGAAGTGTGAATATAAATGTTCATACCCCTTGGGCTTGAAATAGTGCCTCTCATTGCGGTTGGCAGTTGACGTAATGGAGGAAAGAGTCTGTCACCAGGTCTTATAATTGTCAGAAATTGTTTTTATGAGTGGCAGAGCAAATTGGGAGGGACCAGAAGGGGTTAAAATGTCAACCATAGGGTCTGTCTCTTCAGTCACATTCTCCGCTTTAATGCCTAGATCCTTAATTGCTCTACAGAGGAACTTAACATCCTCAAATGCTGGGGCCACCACAGAGCCAGCTAGCCCCTCAGTGGGTGAAGACGGTGAAATTGTCACTAATAACAGGGCAAGTTTTCCACCATCCATCCCAACAGTCCCTAGGACTGTGCAGATTTTCTGGTGCTGAGAGGGGAAACTGCCGGTGCAGACGGTGCCATGGCTATGTTGGTGCTATGTTGGTGCCAGTCCCTGCTACATCAGCGGTGCTGGTCATGGGGTGGGGAGGGAGGCAGAGCTGACAACAGTGCTGATGATGGTGGTGCCAGCACTGCAGGCATACAAGGTGCTAAGGCTGCAGGTGCTGCAATTGGTGCCAGCGTGCCAACGGGAGCTGGTGCCATTCAGAAAGGCATCAGTGTGTGCATGGGAGCTGAATGTTGTGGTACTGTACGAGGGGGAAAGAATGTAGCCAGCGCCACTGAAGATGTTGCCCCAAGAAGCTACCGTGGCTGTGATGGAATGCCAAGAGGGTCCAGAAGGGCCACTGAGTCACATTCTGCCACTGCGGATGCCACAAGGCCTGAGGTTGCCGATGATCATGCTTGGATCTTAGAGATTCCTACTCCAATCCTGAGGCCTCTGATATCAATGACCAGGGAAGTTGCCGAGCTTCTAGGTGCCAAATGGTGGGAGTGTGGCAAGTAGTTAGGTTCTGTGTCTGGCCATGGAGGTGCCTCTGGGTTTGGAGAAGGGGAACACCTAGACATCATGGGGGGTTACCCTCTGGCCTGCACCAATGGGCATGTAGGCACCACTGGCCTTGGGGACTTCCCTCCTCCGGGAGGTGAGAATGGTGCCATTAGGCGCATCAGATTTTTGCCACTGCAAAGGCCTCCGGTGTTGATGGGCTCAACAGGTGCTGCTCTAGTGGGCCCAGGGAGCATTGCAGCTGTGGACTCAACCTCCCTTCATGGGTAGATGTCAATGCGCAACTATATGGGGTGTGTCAGACATGGCCCTCCTGGAGTTGCACATCACTCAGTTTAGAGGCCATCCATTTTTCTAGTTTCTGCCGACATGAAAGCCTTTTATCGACCTCCCCGGTAAACCTCATCCTACGAGGCATAACGGGGAGATCAATAAAGGGCTTTCAGGTCGGTGCAGGAGTGTCCAGACTAGCACGCTGAGCCGACAAACAGCTGAGCAGCTGTTTGTCGGCTCAGCACTGCAGCCATTTAAATTTAAATGAAGCCGCGATTACAACAGATGGAACAACAGATATAGAGTAGAACAGGGCATGTTTAGTCAGATGTGATCAGGTTATTCCCTTTATTTTGAGTTTGCTGGACTTGTCTGTGCACATGTAACTACCCCTTACCCTGTAACTTCCCAAACTAATCCTTGAGGAAGTAATTCTATGAGTTAATCTTTTTTTTTTCACTTGCTCTGTAGCATGTAGCAACCAAGTAATGTTTCATCAAGTATGGGTTTTTTGGTAAATAAAAAAATCACCCTTTTAAGACCAGGATCTGATTCCTGTACCTGAGAAGGCAGGAAGTTCTGTGTGCACGTAATTAAGACTGAAAAGCCAACTACTAAGACAAATTTTTCTGTGTGCACATACCTAAGACTGAAAAGCCAACTACTAAGACCGTTACTCCTCATTGCAGGACCGTTACTCCTCATTGCAGGAGGAGTAACGGTAGTCCGAATTAGGGGCTTTAGTTCGAACTACCTAGCCCGTGCCGCGTGTAGCCGTGGGCAGGGCGTTCGAACTGCCAGGCATTTAAAAATGGTGGCACCCGGGAACATGCAAATAAAGCCCGGGATAATTTAATCCTGGGCTTCATTTGCAAGTTCGAATGACTACACCCTAGTTCGAACTAGGGTGGCTAATGTAGACATACCCTTGGAGTGGTTTCTGATGGGTCTCTGTGGTCAGATGGGTTCATACTGACATTTTCAGCATGGCGAGACTGTCCTGCTGCTCAACCTGGACATGGGACGATTCTGCCTCTCCTAACATGGTAGGTGTGGGGCTGGATTCAGGCTGTTGCAGCCAGATGGCCAGGCCCCAGTTTGAGGCTGCCATGGGGGACTGGGGCTGGTCCCCTGCAGCTGGATCAGGCTGGGCTGTTGTGGAAGGAACCAGGTCCGGACTGCACTACCTGTGGATGGGTCTCGGCTGGAGCCCAGTGGGCCTGGTCAGTTGGAGGGTGGGCTAGTTTTAGGTTGGAGTGGGTGGGGTAGTCCTTCTCCAGCTGCCACAGGTGCCTGGCCTGTTGGCCTCTTTAATCTGCTGCCAGTGTAGCCTGCAGTAGAGGAGAGCTCTTGCTGGAGCCAGAGCAACACACCCGGGCTTAATTTTACCTCTTCATTTCACCCTTCACTCTGCCAGTTACCTTGTCAAAGAAGGACATTGGACGGGATTTGGGTTTGCTTTGTTCTTGATACCGTCTTGCAACTAATTATCACCTGATTAGCGTCTAGGTCTGAACAAATTCATTGTTTGGTCATTTGTTTCAATATCTTTCCAGGTATCAACATTAGATTGACTGGTCTGTAATTTCCTGGTCCTTCCCCTCTGCTGCCCCTCCCCCCGCCCCCGGCCCCTTTTTGGAGACAAGCGCTGTGTTTTCCTTTCTCCAGGCCTCTGGGACTTCACTCCTCCTACATGCGTTCTAAAAAAACAGTTGACGGTTCTGATATTGCTTGAGCTATTTCCTTAACCTCTCTCATGAATTTAATTAGGTCCTGTTGACTTGGATGCATCTATCTTACCTAACTAGACTTTAACCTGTTCTTTTCCTCTTCTGGATGAAAACCCTCTCTCCATTTTTGTTAATATTGGGTTATGTTAATCCTTTTGGTGAGGACTAAAGCAAAAAAGGCATTAAACACCTCAGCTTTCTCCATATCATCCTTTATTTGCTCTATTTTCCGGATAAGTAATAGGCCTATATTTAGCAAGCAAACAGGTAAAACACAAATATTAATTTTAATTTGTGTTTTGTGTTCATTAGCCACTTTGAAATAATTACTTAACATTAAAAGTTGAATCCTTTTTTAAAAGGATAATTGCAACTGTCTCATTGGGTTATCACTTCATTGTACTACCCTAAAGGGGAAGATTTAATTTCTGTACTGTTTTGTCAGTTCTAAAAGAGTATCATGAAGATTTTAAAATTTCAAACAACACTATTTTTCTGACAAATTCTTTAAAAATTGCATTTTTTTTGCTTACATTTTGCACCTTTTAAAATCAAGGATTCTTTTCCTCACTTGTACATGAACAGGTTTCAAAGGGCTGTGACTACATTCCCTTTCTTTCTGGATGGGTGCCCTAAAACTTGTAGTAACATGGAGTCTCAGCCTGGAAAACCTTGAGAACCCCTTTCTTAACATTTAGCTCACTTATTTGTCTCTCTGTTATTCTCATAAGCATTTTCTCTGCATCCTCTCATCCTATGTTCCTCCTTGAGAGTTGTCTTTAAGTTTCAGTTTCCAAAATGAGTTTGGTATGA